GTTTTACGCAATAATGTTGACAGTTTCCTCTCATTCTAATTCTTGTACGCTTTTTTAATGAATACAACTGTACGTCTTAGCCTAATGACATAAATAACTTTTACTTAAACTTTTGTTTAACTTTTTGGTATCTAAATAAATTTAAAATAATAGTTTAACTATTAGGTATAGTTATAACCAGGGCCCGATTTCAGGCGGAACGCGCCAGAACGGCGTTTCGGTACCTTTTTTTATAAAACTGCTTTTTTACTGCTTTTATTACTTATCTGCACCACATTTCTTTAACCACTAGTTTTGCAAAATAAAATTTGGAATTAAATAAAATAAAAGTTTTTGTATAACCAAACCTTACTCCGGCATCTCAATTTTTAGGAATCGAGCAGTGGTTATACACGGTACGCCTGAACCACTTTTAAATCACAGGTCGAGCACCTAACTTTTGACTTGCTTTAATATGTTTTATAGGCCTAAACTAAATAGTTAACAAAAAAATTAAAATAATCCCTCGAGCCGTTTTTAATAAAAATCCAAAGAGATGAAAATATAAGCAAACTATTGGGAATAGTGTAGAAAAATGGTTACTTTATTAGATGTAACAAAAATACAAATGCAATAGTAAAATTTTCTAATATTTAAGCATACTTTTTAAACACAAACAACACATAAAAAACTAAAAATTAATACTAGATTAAACAAGTTATATGTGATTGCTGTTATATTTCCCGACAGCTTTTAAAAGTCTGTTTGCGTAAACTTCATTATTTCTGCTAACTTTAGACGAAATCTAAGCAAAATCATAGTGAAGAGATTCCACAGCTTACTCACTATAAAGTCCCAAACCAGATTTTCTTTTTTCACAAAATTGAAATCCTCTGAGAAATTTAGCACCATACATATGTTTCAAAAGAGTATTAACAACGCCCAGCAATAATTGTAACTCAGGAGGGGGATATACATATAAAAATTAAAGCCAATGAAATAAACTAAAAAAAAACATATAAAATAGAGTGTCATAGGCTTTTAAAAAGGCACCAAAAAAAGACCAAATAGGCAAGTAAAAAAGGAAAATATGCAAAAAGGGCACAAAAAGGCAATATTAAAAAATAAACGCTGATGGTTTAGGCTGCTTTAGGTTTCCACGGGCGTTATATGTATTAATGGTTTTCCGGGATCTGCTCCGGGTTGTCGGTTTTTGGTTTTTAAAAGAACCTTATGTCTGACCGTCGGTACAATCTCATGTACCATCTTCAGGTCTTATCTGCTGGGCTGCTGTTGCTACTCTGCTGCGAGTTAGACGTAGAGATAGTTTTAGACCACCGGTCAAACCAATCGCACAAAACTGAAAGTTGCAACCAGACAAATGCTAATGTCAAAAAAAATTCGGTAGAATAAAAAAAAAGACTTAATAAATTGTTGAATGTTTGTACAAAAATAAAAAAATTCTATATAAAATATATATAAACTCTTTGTTTTAGATCGAAGGTGTTTCGAACGTATCCTAAATGTATTAAATCTTCACCGCGAAAGCCGTTTGTTTTGTTCCAAAGTAATAATTTTATTACTGCGAACGCCAAATTTTATAAGGCGCATGCTTGGCCCTAGCAACGCGAAAAAAAATGTAAATCTACCATAAAAAAACATAGCTTTGGCATATGAAAGGGCAAGTGGATGAAGAGGTTAAGTAACAATTTTAATAAAAAAGGACAAAAAATATTGCAATTGCAATATTTTTTTTCCTTTATTTCTTAAAATTGTTACCTAACCACTCCATTCAATTCCCCCTTCAATTTTAAAATTAAACGTAAATTTATAAAAACCGGACAATAGAAAATTTATGTGTTCCTTAAAGTTTCTTAATTTTTAATCAACGATTTTAAAATTTAAATAATTTTAAAGAAAAATTATTGCATTTTTCTCAAAAATATTCAATTTATAAAACAAATACAACTAATCAAGTTTGGGTGCGTACAGCAAAAGCTTGCTGTATTTTACGACAATTAGACCGATCCAACGGTAGATTTTTTAACATATTTAATGTTTTCAGGTCATGTCTATGAATTAATTGTATATTATGTATCAAGTTTGATAAACGCCATTTTAGACACTTGTGCTTAAATTAATGAGTCTCTAGAAAAGTTTATAAACGTGTTTCTATGACAAATCCGAATTATCTAAACATTATTTAAATTAAGTATTTGTATAGAGCGTCATCTATAAAACAATATGGGAATCTGTGTTACCGTCAAATGTCAAATTATATGTATTTTAAACATAAATCAAAATGTATCCCTTGAAAATGTATTAAACAACAGTTTTTCACAGTGAAAGTGAAGAAAATGTTGTATTAGCACTTCACGGTGGAGTCCGAGCCCGACTTTAAGTTATATCTAGTTTACTGCCGGCGAAATTAAATGGTAAAGTACAATGCTCGTAGGTATAATTAATTTAAATACCTACCTATCATTAATAATATCGATGAACCACTGTAATTACAGCCGTATAATTTACATTCAACCGCCGTTATCTAAAAAATACGTGTGCAAATGACGATTTTTTTAATTCGAATACTTTAATAAGGCCTTCAAGTAAAATATTTAAAAAAAAAATCTGATTAACTAACTACTTTTTACAAAAAATCCGACTAAAATTTTATGAAAATTTTTGATTAAAAAATCAACAAGGACACAAGATATGACCGTGTGCCGTAGGCGCCTAGGGCACCCACCAGCCCTTTTGTTACAAGTTTACAACTAAAACAGCCATTTTAGAATTTGAAATTTTATATTAGGTAGGTACCTATATAAACAAAACGTGATCTCTATTCATTCATAGTACTTACAAAAAATTATAAGTGAAATAATAACAAAAATAAATTCTCTAAAACGGTTATAAAAATTATTCCAATATTTCAAACTATCTAATTGCAAACATATATTTATGCTATATTAACTTATAGTACTACTAATTTATGCTATACTTATTATAAATAAGATTTCGAATTTGAGAGTTTGAATCTTGATTTTTTTTATCCAAAATTGTAAATGTGAAATCGAAAATTTCTTATTTTAGATTGAAAATTTTTCATTTTTATTTTTTCATCTCTGAATTTCTATTTTTGACTAATGTATATTTCCTATTTAGACTTTCGATGTGAAGTAGTCGATTTCGAGTTTATGATTCTAGATTTGTAATTTTAAATTCACAATTAACCTATGTTTATTTCAAAATATTTAATTCGTAATTTTGAGTTTAGAAATTAAAAAAATAGAACACAATAGAAATATAATATCAAGCAGGCAACGAATATTTATTACTACAAAAAGCTTTTTATTTTTTGAACATTTTTCTTATGTTTAGATCAAAAAAAAATTCTCTTTCCACTTCTGGGGGCCCCCTGGTGCTCGGGGCCCCGGTCTATGAAACCGGTGGTAGTTACGACACTGCATTTGACAACTGTCAACTAACTTAAAGCTAACTTCAACCCGTGACTAAAAACCTGTTGCTAACTTCAGCCCGTGACTAAAACGCCGTTAAGCCACAACTTGTCAATGTGTATTTAAAAGGTCATGTACGTTAACAGGCGTTTTAAAGGTGGGAGTAGAAAATATTATATTATGTAACAAGTTTTATAAGTCCCATTTTAGTTACGAGTTTAATTAAGCACGAGCTAAGCTTGCGAGCGAGTGTTTAACAAAAACTAGTGTGTAAAGAAGTTTATAAACAGGTTGCATACTATCTTTATCTATGACGAACACAAAACAGAATTTAAACCAATTTTATTTGTTAAAAAATTAAGATCTGTCAACTGTCACTCAAATTTAACCTCACTTTTTTCCATTTTATAATAAAGCTAACTTCAGCCCGTGACTAAAATGCCCAAAACCCACTGATGCTAACTTCAGCCCTTGACTAAAACGCCATAAAGTCACAGCTCGTCAATGTAGGAGTAGATAAAAATACTTAAAGAAAACTTCACGGTGCTGTTCTGAGAGGTGATTTTTGGACTTTCTGTGAAACCTAATTTTTTTTTATTTTCTTGTTAATTAGGTCATAAATAAAATTTTAAGAGCAAAATAAAAAAAATTTGACGGTTTGAATTGTTTTAATTGGCTGTTTATTAAAAATATTATGCACTCTTTCAATTATCCAATTAAAACTAGCAATTTAATTGAAATATTTAATATTTGCATAACTAAAAAAAGGTTTTTACAATTTTTTTTATATATTTTACTGTTTTGTTGCAATAAACGTTCAAACTTTTAATCTAACCTTTGACGTATACATTTATGTTCCCTTAATTAATATATCCTTAAAGGTTGCCATGAAACTTAGATCTATTAAAAATTTATTTGACGTTTGAATTGTCATTTTCAGAATACGTATTCTATAATTTTTGTTTAGTTTTTTAAAGTGTTTTTTATAAACAAAAATGAAAAATTGTAGTAAAAGTTACGAAGAAATTCATGAAATTTAACTAAGGACCGGTTTATTCATCTTTAGTAAAGTTTATCGGGCCGATAACTTTCATGTCTTGGCAATATCCAAGTATTCAAAGAAATTATTCGTCAAATAAATCAAAAATGAATAAATCGGCCCTAAATAAAATGTGGCACCCTTAGAATTATTGTTTAATAAATGTATACTATAAATTTAACCTTAAATTAAAACTTTAAACGTGTATTACAACAAAACAGTAAGAGATATAAAAAATATACCTATAGACCTTTTTTTAGGAAATTAACTAATCTTTAATCTGATTTAAAAAGTTATGATATTATTTAAATAAAATCGCAAGTTTTAATTGGAGAATTGAAAGTGTGCATACATATTTTTAATAAACATCCAATTAAAACAAAATTAACCGTCAAATTTTTTTTATTTTGCTCTTAAAATTTTAGTTATGACCTAATAAACAAGAATATAAAAAAAATTAGGTTTCACAGAAAGTCCAAAAATCACCTCTCAGAACAGCACCGTGACTTATTAGGTCGATTACTTACGCAATGTATCCTGGTGAGACATACGGCGACGACATGGGAACACCAGTATGCCGTCGAAGTGCAGGTGCAGTTGCAAGACGAGATGCGTCGCCGATCGAAGGTCACGGCTACGTTGTTGTAGTGTCCGCGGCCGGAACCGTTTACGCCGCCGGCGCTCGCCGCCGCCGTCCCGCTCCCTGATCCCGCACCACCGCCACCATTTCCGCCGCTCTGTTGGAGCACGCTCGCCGACAAATGGAAACCTGTGAAAAGTTCGTTACATGTATGCTCCATTGCTCAAAAATTAAAAATTGGAAAATGTTGTGATCATCAGCCGTCCAAAAAAATAAAATTAGGATTTCGCCATCAGCCTCATGTTTCTTTCTTTCAAAAACATCGTTTTATTGTGTTTGTATATTTTTGCATTGTAAATTATGTAAAAAATAACGCGTGTTTTCTTATCTCGATCATAAATTCGGATTTAGCGTCACAAATTACCTATAAATGGTCGCATTTGATACCCTCAGCACAATCCTTTGCTGCGGAGGAGGGGCTGTCCCGAGTAAAATACTGAAAAACCTCGCCGAAAACCAGAGTACTCAATTTCTATGGATTATGTGTCGAAATTTTAAAATTAGTTTTCGTTTTCTTCCTAACAGAGCTGGGCACGAGTACTTAAAATATTTACTCGTAAGTACATTGTACAAGAGAGGTTACGGTTACGAGTAGTAATCGTGAAAACACAAGTAAAGGTACGAGTACTTTTGAAAAAAAATTAGATAATAAAATTCTTCTAATTCTTTACTCTCTAAAAATGGGTTAGTCAAAAGTCATAGCGAAAAAGCAGCCACTAATAATTATCGTCAATAGCAATTTGTTTGTTTAGCAGTCAATTTCTATGTAAAATTGTTCCCTGAATCTGAAAATGTTATCAAAAGTTAGAAAAGTAGAACAGTTTTTGAGATATAGTCCATTTTCCATATAATATGGAATTGACTATATCTCAAAAAGTGCTCCACTAATTTTCACTAATAACTGTGGTAATTAGTCATTTTTGACTAATTCATTTTTAGAGAGTGTACATTATACATTTGGTCCTAAGCTATAAAAATACAAATACAAATTTATAAAATTATTACATTATGTACATAAAATAATAACAATTCTTAAATAGTTTATAATTTTACCTATTTACTTGTTATTAAACCTATAGGCTATAATATATTATATTATACTATATATTATATAATTTAAAACAGACTTCCAAACAAAATGTTTTGATGCTTACGATATTTTGGCAAAAAGTCATCCATATAATAAACGAAAATACTCGTATATATTACTCGTGAATACCACGAGTATTTTTTACGAGTACATTGAATTTGGTTTGTAAGTACGAGTAATAAGTATTTCAAATGAAAAATACTTATAGTAAAAAAGTACTCGTACTTTTTTACTCGTAATTGAAATACGAGTAAAAGTAGCTCTGCTTCCTAACCTCAAAAAACAAGTATTTTTGTTAATTTTTCGTGATACATTTATATCCAGGGTGCACCAAGTATCCTTCTATGTGTATATAATTTATAAATTGAAAAAAAAGCCAGAGGTTCTCAAAATATTTAATAATAACTACAAAACTTTTAAAACCAAAAATCTTTATAACTTTTTTATTTCTGGGAATTTTGAAATAAAGTATTTTTACATGTAAACATACACATTAATCTATATTTTTGTCCAGTTTTGAGTTACCATCACCCTCTTTTGTTTTTATAATAGCCGCCATAACTTATGTAGTTTACAGTGCTGGATTTCTTGATTACCAAGGTGTATGTATCTCGTTGATTACCATGTAATATTCCAATAAGGCGGCCATAGGAAAAACAAAAGATGTTGGTGTTATCTCAAAATCTAGAAGGCGAAAAAAATTACAAATTGGATGTAAATGTTTACAAGTAAATTTTTTTTTCAAAATTCCCAGAAATAATAAAGCAATAACGATTTCTTGTTTTAACAGGTTCTTAGTCCTTTTTCCAATTTTTAAATGCCATATTAATATACTTGTAATTAGTTGGTGCACCCTGTATATTCATAAATAAAGAGTAGAGAACATAAATGACAGTCACAATCATAAGTGACCGACTGAAATTAAACTTTATTGTCGTCAACACTCAACCCTGATTATGCAACATAACATAATAAATCATTATGGGCTAGTAATATTAGTTGTTAGCGTCAGTGATTGACCAATTCCGTTATGCACCGGGATTTGGATTATTAATAAAATTCGTCAGACAGAGAATCACTTCGTAACCTAATGACATTAATAAATATTTTGTGTAAATGAGGCCTAAAATTGGCGGAAGCACAAAAAGACCTTCTGGGTCGAATGGCATACAACATTTTATCTTCAAGTTGTAATGTTTTTCAGAATGTTATGCCAATTTTATTTGTTAAACGATACATGAAACCTACTAGAACTAGAATGTAAGGCAAGAACCATCTGGAAGATTTCATGATTTGTCCATCTCACTGTGAATCGGCCAATCACTTTATTTTTTATTAATTTGTACTACCTATGTAAGTAATAAAGAACAATCTTTATATCTAAAAGGGCTTTGTATTGCAGTTATTTTTGTTCAGAGAGGCGGGATATTTTAAGTTTCGTACCTATTTGAAGGGGATCTTTAACCATATGATTCCTGTGCAGACTCTCGCCTCTGGCAAACTCGTCGGCGGATCCGTTGGCCAGGCAGGAATACAATCGGATGTCTTCTTCGTTGTCCGGAAAGCTCCAGAACGCGATCCGCAGCTGTAGCTGTTCGGGAACCGGAGGATAGACGTGTTCTACGAGTTCGAACGGTATGTGAGACGCTACGCATTTTGCTGCTAGTTCAGTGAGAGAAGGAACCGAGGGCAAATCTGGAATAAAAGATAAGATTTTGTTCAGGTTATATCATTGATTTAATTTAATAACAAACATGCAAGAATAATTAGGAAAGTTCAAGTAAATTATTAATTAAGGCATCGAAAAGTTATTTATTTAATATGTAATTGGTAAAACAAAACGTAAAAATGTCGTGAAGTGATAATTGATCGAATACCGTGAGTTTTTAAAATTTAAAATACAGTCACGCAAAGGTTCCGGTTATGAGACATGGATGTAATATTTTTTCATGAGAAAAATAAAGATATGATATCTTTCGCCAAAAAAATTAAATTAAATTATATTAAAAATTATATGTTGAAAAGGATGAACAAATACAGTCATAAATTCTTGTTGTTCAATTTGATAGTGCTGGTACCCGCATACTTGAAAATTTTATTAACTATTAAAAATGTAGGTAGGTATTTGTACCAGCTTTTGTGCGATATATATACAAAGCGAAAGGGGTGCGCTACCACTGGAGAGCATAATAAATAATAAGAAATGGATGCGGATCCTTGCGCTAAACTTTATTTATTGTATGGCCAACGATCAAACAAGATATAAAACCCTTGTCGTAATTTTGCTGTATTGTTTTTCTATAAATACAATACAAAAAATACTAAATACAAAATTATTAATTATTTTAAATATCACGGAATTCAAACTTATTTTAAAAATATATACAAGGTGTCTGCTTAAGGTTTACAAAAACTTACCTTATATTCTTAAAACCAATTTAAACGGGATGAACTCGTAAATAAAAATTATAAGTAAAGTTTGGTAAATTACTTACAAACTTAGTAAGTATCATGGCTGTTCAACTTGAATTACCCCACCAACACCTTGAAGTAGGCAACCCATATCACATACGTATTTAATTTAATGAATTTAAATTAAATAAATTCTATTTTTTATTCAAAACATGTGTATACACATATATGTTATATAAATACAATTAGTTATGTTGGCAAAATAAAAAATACCAATGTTATGTTGGCAACCCTATTAATATTTGTTTAGTATTTTACTACTTTTACTTATTATTAACTGTTACAGTTAGTTATCGTTATATTGTCATAGTTAATTAGTTTAGTAACTTTGTATTGTTTTTCTAATTAACACATAAAACCATACCTTGGGTAACAATTTTGAATTTTTCCAAAAACAATTCATGCAACTACATAGGATAAGAATTAAATATTCAGGTATTTATGAATTGATAAGATAGCCTATTTTAAAAATGAGAAATTAATGGTGAAAAAGTACTGGTGGAAAACAATCCAAGTTCCTAATCAATTCACCGTGATTTCATTAAATCTAAATTCTTATTTTTAAGGTTCAAGGAATTTGTTCATTTTGTATATTTCTCTACACGACAGTTAAAATATTTAAACAAACTTAACAAAAAAATTAAATATAGCGGGAATTCTCCAGCCAATAGAAATCAAACTACCTAGTTGAATGTTGCCTATCTATGGTTTCATGCGCTGCCACTAGAGTTCGCTTCCTACCCCTTCGAGGGTTTCGATGGTAAGTATTTACATGCTTTGGGCGCTGTGGGGCTTTGAAATAACAATAGCTAATTTTTTTTATAATTTAAAACGGCATAAATTGCATAATTTTGATCAAATTTAGTACGTTGACATTGGGGTTGCCGGATTCTGTCAAAAAAATAAAGTACACTTTGTGAGAATTTATCTTAATTGCAAAAATGACAAAATGCAAATTATTAAATTGACATTACACTGAAAAAAATTTACGAAATTTTACACATCCAAACACACATTTATTTCTGTTTTTTTACTTAAGAAATGTGTTGTTCCATATACAACATGTACTCACATACTTACATAAGTAAAATAGCATCAATTTATGTATTTTTTTAAATTAATATGTAGTTTTTCATATTATTATGTAATAAATCCTTAAATTTATGTGCTTTTACAATTTTTAATGTACTTGTACTATTATTTTCCTAAATTTTAGATTTACATGACCTTTGCATTTTTACACATTATATGTAGTTTTACAGTATGTTTGTACATATACATTTAAATACGTGGCATCAAAATAACCAACGATCAGATGTGTAAATTTACTAAATATTTTTTTGAGTGTACATAAGTATTCAGGGTTCCCAGCATTGTTTTGTACTTTTTTTTATGATTTTATGACAAATTTTTCAAATTTTATGACATTTTATATGACAAGAATTTATTATTTCTAAAGTTATTTAATAAAATAATAGTAGATTATGTCATAAGGAGTAGAAGCGACTCTTTTTGTGGTGAGTACAGAGATTGACGGCCGAAGCGTAGCTGAGGCAGGCAACTGTACGAAGCAAAAAAAGAGCTTCTACTCCAAATAACATATACAATTTTTTTTTCAAGGGCGTAATATAAATAGGATAAGCAATGGAATTATTTTGTTTACTCTTAACTCATGTGGTATAAAATTTTGGCTAAAAGCATTAGAAATTATTGATAAAAACTAAAAAAACTTATAACCCTTACTTACAATGCCGATAAATATCCTAAACCATAGATAACAAAGCCTTAACTAAAAATAAACCCTGCTCTGTCAAAATGCTGCGCTTGAATTAATTTTGACGTACTGACATTTGTTTGGAGTTCCGACATTGGCAACTCGTCTATCATCATAATATTATAATAATAAACTAGTTCTTTATTTAGTTCAATTAAAATTTAATAAATAATCACTAAATATTCCGTGCGATTATAATTAATATATTAATACAACGTGATTGCTTTGTATGAAATTCTAAATTAATTTTATTATTTGACGTCTATTGAGACAAATGGATTTACTTCTATCCCTAGGCTTTTTTGAGTTTTTTGTCTGCCGCTAATGAAAAAGACGCACTTCAACTATCTCTATACAGGCATATAAGGTTGTATATCATGGCCGCTTGAAAAAAAATGTAATTTTTTAACGGTTTATTATATAAAAATAAATATTTTTTCTTGCATCAAAATAAATATTTCTGCTATAATATTTTTAATATATGTTACTTTAGTATTTTATTATAATAGGTATTATAATCTTAAAATAAATAAAACCACAAAGGTATACAAATCTGAAATATTGGAGGCTCAAACAATGATTAACATGGGTCTCAAAAAAACAAACTTTTTTAGACCCATGTTAATCATTGTTTGAGCCTCCAATATTACAGATTTTTTAAGAGTAGTTATGTAGTTATTGTTAAGGTACTTCAGAAATAATATTTCTTGTTATTTTTAACTCTGCTTCCTTACTTGCCAAAATAGTATCAATTTCTTCAAGTCCTTCTTTGTGCCTTCCTTAGTAAAGTAATATAGTATAAAAATAAATTTACCAAGGCCATATTTAAAACATTTTATTGCGTTTTATTCTACAGGACCGGCTTTAAATTTTATTTTACAAAATTTCCATTTTATAAAAAAGATCAAAGTTGAGAAAATTGTTAAAAAACAATGAAATTTTATGATTTCTATGACAAAATGTGAATTTTATGACATTTTAGGACAATTGAACCAATTTTATGATATTTAAAAATTTTATGACAAACGGGAACCCTGCATAAAAGTCTATATCAAAATCCATACGAATAGAATTTGTTTATTTATATAATTCTACATTTAAATTTTAATGTAATGGTGTAATAGTGGCCAAACTTTTTTATGAAAAAAACTATTTACTTAAAGAAACATGCGTGCCCTCTGGTGGCGCTAGATAGCATTTTGCAAGACGATCTGCACATTATTTTTAAATAAATTTAAAAATGATGTGCATATCGTCTTGCAATAATGCTATCTAGCGCCACCAGAGGGCGCGCGCGTTGCTAAAACCCGATGCTTCTTTAGAGTATGTAAGAACGTACTTTGGTATTTTATGTTCTATTTTTATATTTTTTAATTAATTAAGTAGGTACTCCTAAACCACGTATTAAAACATTAAAAGAATTTTTGTTACATCAAATGACACCGGTGTATACCTGTATCCGAGCCTGTATCATAATCATGGGCCAAAATATCAAAAGGTTAAACATTCTGAATACGTATTAAAATGGCCCAAGCATTTTTTAATATTAAATTTAAACCTATTAAAGGCAAAAAAAACAAAATGTTTTAAGTAAAAGACTATAGGTAGTCTGACTTATGTCTGAACAGTTTTTATAAACATTTGTCCGTTCTTGCTTACTTTTCATTATAGTTGGTAGTTTTTTTATTTCCAAGTCTGGATTTAATATTAATTTTTGCCACTATAGCTAGTGTAAGTAATAAAAAACAAAAACTTGCAAATGCAAAAGGATTATTAAGGTATTGAGGCCTAGCGTTTTAATATTTAACGGAAACAAAACGCGTGCTTGAAAGTGTAGTTATTATTAAAGTTTAGCGCAATAAAAACGTTACTGTTGTTTGTCAAAAATACTTTGGCCGCAATAATTTTTACTATTTGCAAATCAAATATCATAGCATATTACGGAGAATTTCAGGTCTGTGGAGGGTTTCCAATATTTTAATAAGAGCGAAGCCAACAACGGATATTGTTTATTAAAGTCGGCTAATAACAGTGCAGGATATCAGAGGTCGGAATTTAGGGATAGCGTTTATCAAATATAATTGCATTTAACTGTAAACCTTTTTAAAAAATCAATTTTACATTACAACAATGTTTAGGTATTAAAATTTATTTACGCGCTCCACCCTGCCCCTCGCCAAAATCATAAATTGTTGAGTGACATATCTTATTAAAGGTCTTTTAATTCTTAATAAAACTCTGTTTCAAAAATATGTCAGTTATTTTTCGAGAAATTGCTATTTGAATTTTCAAATTAAAAAAAAAACAAAAATATTGTAAATCAACGAATGTGAGTTTCATGGAGCAAATGTGGATTACTATCGCTATAAATGTTATGAATTACCTTTTTACTAATAATAATAAAAAGTTTAATTCCCTAGTTGTATACCCGCGGCTTTTCTCGCGTGGT